TACAGATATTTTATGGGTTCCACTGAAATAAAGGTAGCTGATTACGAGAAAGATCTCGGTATGTATGTTGATGCTAGACAACACACCAGCACTCAGCAATCGCGGTAGAACCTTAGAACTTGTGGTACAAGCCATCGACCCGGTGTCAAACATTGCTGTTGCTTCAACTCGTCCCCCAATAATCACTTTAGTGTAAAACAGATCATCATATTGCTCTAGCTTTTGTGTGTTCTGCAGAACAACTGTACATTCAGGACTACACTCTTCGCATACAGTTTTATATACAGACTCACAATCAGGAATCACGGAATCACAATCCACTGATTTTGGGGGAGTATCATTAGGCCTTACACTCACTCCCTCCACATGCAGGCCTATTCGTTTCCCGTACGCGGTCCAACATCTAACTCAGGTACCCTACTGGTAGCACAAGCTTTAGCTTTATGACACTCTGCACATGCATGACCTGCTTTATAACAGAAAAAACACAGATGGTTCGCTCTGCAGTGAAAATGAGTGGTGTGACCAATATCTCCACACACTCCACATTAATGTTGTTCCGATTCTGATACTAGTATCGGAAATGCTGCCGATACCACCAAAAAATCTGGCATCTGTATCGGCGAGTATTTGAGTCCACGTACCGATCCGATACCATTTTCCTAAACATAACCTAGTTATGCCCGCTAGCTTTGCTTAACGCTGCAAATCGGAAATCAATTCTTCTTCGCTGCTCAGAATGCAAACACAGGAAGTTGTGTCGTGTTGCCACAAGCAACCACTGTTTACGGCAGCGAAGAAGTACAAACGTGCAAGAAGTATGTCCGCTGTTTGGCAGTATTTCAGGCTTGATCAACCAGCCAGTAAAACAGCGACATGTATTATACAGTATGTCAAGCTGCAATTTCAAGGGGTGGCACAGGTATTAGCAACTTTAACACAACAAACTTAATAAAGCATTTGAAGACGCGTCACCCCGTAGAACACGATGGTTACACAAAAGCTAGGACAGAGAAGGACGAGCCGTGCCAGACGCAACAAACATTGGAAGCTTCATTCAAACGAAGCAAAAAGTTTTCACA